AAATAAAATAAAATAAATCAAAATTATTATCTAGGACCAGGACCCCATTGATAGGAAATGGATAATCATTAAGAAGTGGGCCTATAAAGTTGGATAGCAAAAGCATTAGTTCCTACTTGCTACCTTTTTTTTTTTTCAGAACTGGGGATTGAACTCGGGCCCTTGTGCTTGCCAAGGAAGCGCTTATTCTACTGAGCCATCTCCCCCTGTCCCCCTACTCCCTACCTTTTACAAATTCCAAATAAATGATAATATAAATCTAAAAATCCAGTAGCTCATTAAAGTTTCTAGGAGGAAATGCAGGTGAATGTTTTACATCCTGTGAAAATTAAAATTGTTTTAAACTGATATAAACAAGAAAAAGGCTAGGAAAATTGGTAGTTTATATGTAAAGCTTAAAAACTGATATAACATAAGCACATTAACAAATCCAAAACTCAAGGTCAGCTTGTGACATAATATGACAGAGAAGAATCTCCTTAATATGTAAAGAGTTCTTGCATATCAAAGAGAAAGAGGTAGCATTTTCTCTCTGAAGAACTAAACATATGGATGACTAGATTCTGTAGAGAAGTAGTGCTCTTACTCTGCCACTCTGAAACCAGTGTTCTGGTCTGGAGACTCAGAACCCACTCAGTGGCTGCCAACCTCTTTTAATTTTCCCACCTCCAACACCATAAATCAATCAGAAAAAGGCAAATGGGCATCATAAGGTAATGATCCAGGAAGACTTGCTTCTAGTTAGCCTGCTTTGAGCTCTTGTGGGTCAAAAATTTCTGATCGAGGCCCACTTAAAGCCCCGCCCCCCATTATGAAGAGGTCCCATCCCTCTGCCTGTGTTTTGAATCTCTGCCAAGTACAAGTGATGATGGCTGCCTCTCGGGCATTAGCGAGCACTGAATAGGTCATTGCTTCTCTTTCTTATGTGAGCAACCTTCATTTGTGTCTACACTCTTAAACATACACTTAATAGGACTGTAGAGAAAATGAGCAATGAATTTGATTAGATAACTAACCATGAAAGAAGTAAGAGAGAAAGGGTGAAGGAAGAAGCAGGAGGAAGAGGAGGAGAAGCGATCAGAAGGGTACAAGTACTATAAATGAAAATATGTTTGAACTGACCAGTGTTAAGACAAATGGAAAGCAAATTCATCTGCCAGGTTAGCAAAGATGTAAGGGAATGGTCATGATGCAGGGTGAAGATACAGAACAAGGTCATTGTCGGTAAGTTTATGTTTTGCGTATATGCAGAGAGGAAGATTCCTTGGCAATATGGAAAGTTAACTACATATCATAATGGGGAATTAGAACAATTGGCAAGCAACTCATTAGAGTAGCTGTAACCAAGAAATCTGTCTGTGTTACTTTTACAACTGAGCATCGTGTGAATCGCCATGCGCTTTCTTTCTTTCTTTATTCCTACCTCATCATAGGGGTTTTCCTGGGTCTTATGACTTGGTTGGGGGTCTGAAGCTTCTTGCTCCAGGAAGGTGAAGGATAAATAGTAGCTAGGAGAAAGGAGGCGTGGCTCCTACTTGAGTATTTTAAAGTCCCTGCCAAAAGAACAATGATAAAATCAGGACATTAGGAAGCAAAACCAATATTTTCCTTAAAAGAAGCCTAAGCTAGATTTTCTGACATCAGCCTTCAAAGCAGAAAAGAACAGAAGTTATGTTAGTGTAAGAAAGTCTCACTGAGGTTGGAGTAAGGGGCTAGGGAACTAGTGATGAGGAAAAAGAAACTCC